CTGTATAAATACTTATCAGAAGTTGATTTGGAAGAAAAAATAGTGAAAGGTTGTATGATAGCATGGGCCAAAAATATAGGACATAATATAGATAGCAGATTGGGAAAAAATTTGGAACCGGAATTATAAATTAACAAGATCATAGGCCTATAAAGAAAATATCTATAAGATATTCTACCGGTGGCACATACTCCCAATGAGATTAGCAAAAATGCATCCCAACATGAACCTGGCATTCTGGAAGTGTAAAAAAGTACAAGGCACTTTCTACCACATGTGGTGGTCCTGCCCCAAAGCTCAAAGATTAGGCACTGGTTACAAGAAATAGTAAAAGAACAAATAGAATTTGAACCTGAGCTATTCATGTTAGGAATATTTAAAAAGAAACATGAGAAAAAGATTAAATATATCTTATTACACTTATTAACTGCGGCAAGAATAACATATGTACAATGTTCGAAACACAACATCCCTTCTGAGGAACTGGTAATTCAAAAAAAAACTTGGAATGTGCTGAAATGGATAGACTGACTCTAAAATTAAAAGATAAAGAAGAGTCGGAATATCATGAAATTTGGGATATGTGGTATAATCGGCTGGAAAATAGGAAACAAAGTTAAGATAAGAAAACTATAGATAAATGTATATAATCGTATAATATCGTATATTAATGTAAATATCTACAAAAGATGGATATGTATAATAATGCTACAGTGCTGTAATGTCATGATCACTTTTGTTTTTAAAAATGTAAAAGAACAATAAAATTTAATAAAAGCAAAAAAATCCTGATTGTATTAAATAAACAAATCCATTAAAATAGAATAGAGTAGATTGACATGTTACTTTTCTTCTTTTCCAGCCTATAATCAGTACTCCCATTTGGGGACTGCAAAACAAAAACACTGTTAGACTTCTCTCCATTGGGACAAAATAACTCATATATACTAATTTACTTTTCTGTTCAATTCACCAAGCTGAAGATGTGTTTTATTTTTCCATGTTAACCCCCCCTCCCCCGTTTTTTAAAAGAAAATTTATTAAAAGAAAACCACAAAGTGCCAAGGGAGAAAATACAGAACAAAGCTGATATTTCAACTGTGACCATAAGTTCCATTACCTTAGTATGTAAATAAAACCAACTGTAACTGTATGACTCAAGAAAACATGTTCCACAGTATTGCTGAGTTGCATAGAAGAAAGTATCTCTGTATATAATTTTAGCTGTCATTCTCCCTCCCTATTACCATTTGGATGACTGACAAAATGCTATCAAATCCATATTAATTTCTAGTGACATGAATAGATTATTTCCAGGCACTATTAACATACGCATCACAGGAGATAAAAATAAGTGTATAGTTTTCTTCAAAATATATTGCAATTGAGAAAGATAATATTTCATAAATATTAAAGGCATAAGAGAGGAAATTGATTTAAAAGCTTAGAAAAATGTGTAATTTTTAATATATAAAATTATAATATTGTGTTATGATATATACTCAGAGGTATGACTCAGTATAGTGGATCTTGTTCCCAGATAATCACACAAAAAACTGCAATTAATTGAAAGAATATGTTGCCTGTACAACATTTGTTTGTAACTAAATAAAACATATAAAGACAGTACTCTATGCTGTGATTGCACAATCTTTTTTCCCTAGGGAAGATTAAAATAGAGTCAGTGTCAGTTTTAGTGAGAATATTATTATTTCATCAGAAATCATCACAATATGGACTAGCAACACACATGGATATGGAATTAAAGTTATATTACTGAACTGTTGAATGTAAAAGATAACTGCAGCAGTTACCTTAAAGGGCAAAAAAAGTAAATGAAATGGAAGGGCTAGGTCAGAAGGACCTTTTTAATCAAATAAGTTTTAAACTTTTCTAACTAAATCAAAAGTATAACAAAAAGAAAAATCTCTAATTTACATATCGCAAAGATAATAGTTCCAGAATTAAATACAGGATCTGAAGCTGTACTCACTATTTGGCAGCTCTACCCATTTTGTTCAAAAAGTGAATGTTGTCATGAAAAGCAGAACAATTGTAATGCTGAGCATTTAAGCATATTCCTATCATTTCCACTCAATATTGTTTCAAAATAAAAATGAACCTCTAACAAACATGAACCAAATTTCAACCACCAATACGATCCAGTGTTAGAGAAGCATTTTCAACATCAAGTTCCTAGTTGTAAGGAATAACATCTCTAACTGCTGTTGTGAACTTAATATATATGGAATAATTATGTAAAAGTAAATTCATTCATTTAGCATTTATGTATTGACACATAGGCCAAATCCCTGTATAGGGATTTTCAGTTTGTCCTGAAATGAACTCAGGCTAAGTGTGTCATTTCTGAGCGCGTCAACAAATTTAAGTGTCCTTGACACATAGCATTTGTAAGATCCAGATTTACCATCACAAAAAATAAAATTTATTGTCACCAAATGAATATACCACAGGGCTTGAGAGGTGAAAACTATCATTATTTCAAGTTGGTTTTTTTTAAGTGATCCTTACTTTGCAAAATAAACATGCTACTTGGAACTGCCTATATATTCAGATGGTACCTTAACAGTCCTTGGTTAGGATTTGAACTGTTACAAGTTTTTACCAATCCCAAACTGTGAATCGAATTGAAGATTGACAACAATAATAATAATTGAAAATAAGATGAAGATCCCTTATGGGACTTTCAAATATAGACGGATCTTCATTTGGAACACAACACATCAGATATCAGAGTTGTCAAAAATCACAAAGTACAATTTATTGATATCACTGTACCAGGAGATGCCGGAGTCGAACAAAAAGAACTGGGAAAAATCAAAAATATCGTGATCTGGCCATTGAAACTACACGATTATGGATGAAACATGTAACAGTGATACCCATCATTGGGGCACTTGGCACCATGTCCAAGAATTTTGCAAAATATACTGCTCAAAAAATAAGGGAACACTTAAACAACACAATGTAACTCCAAGTCAATCACACTTCTGTGAAATCAAACTGTCCACTTTGGTAACAACATTGATTGAAAATCAATTTCACATGCTGTTGTGCAAATGGAATAGACAACAGGTGGAAAGCGTAGGCAGTTAGCAAGACATCCCCAATAAAGGAGTGGTTCTGCAGGTGGTGACCAGACCACTTCTCAGTTCCTATGCTTTCTGGCTGATGGTTCGGTCACTTAATGCAAGACAATGCTAGACCTCATGTGGCTGGAGTGTATCAGCAGTTCCTGCAAGACAAAGGCATTGATGCTATGGACTGGCCTGCCCGTTCCCCAGACCTGAATCCAATTGAGCACATCTGGGACAACATGTCTCACTCCATCCACCAATGCCACGTTGCACCAGACTGTCCAGGAGTTGGGGGATGCTTTAGTCCATGTGTGGGAGGAGATCCCTCAGGAGACCATCCGCCACCTCATCCAGCATGCCCAGGAGTTGGAGGGAGGTCATACAGGCACATGAAGGCCACACACACGACTGAGCCTCATTTTGACTTGTTTTAAGGACATTACATCAAAGTTGGATCAGCCTGCAGTGTTTTTTTCCACTTTAATTTTGAGTGTAATTCCAAATCCAGACCTCCATGGGTTGCTACATTTGATTTCCATTGATAATTTTTGTGTGATTTTGTTGTCAGCACATTCAACTATGTAATGAACAAAGTATTTAATAAGAAAATTTCATTCATTCAGATCTAGGATGTCTTATTTTTGTGTTCCCTTTATTTTTTTGAGCAGTGTACATTAAGAAGTTGCAACTTCTTCCTTTAGCACCAGTGGAGCTGCAAAAGACTGCGCTACTCAGAATAATATACATTTTAAGATACTTGGTTGATATCTAGGATGCTGGCAGCATCCCCTATCCAGTCAATATTTGTGATACATTTTTAAATGTTCAGTTGATTTGAGTTTTATGTTTAATGAATATAATTTTATAATAATAATAGAAAAAAGAAAGACAAGATATTACAATTACTGGTGAATTGTCATTAGGCAGTCAAAGTCTGGCTAATTTTGCAGACAGTATAACAAAATTTAGCTACAAAGAAACTATATTGTACTGATCTGATAACAACTGTATGTAAAAAAAAGGGGGGGGGTGTTCCTGGGTATTTTATCATCAGGGGCACAGTCTGAGCTTGTATTGAATTATTTTGTTAAGTCTCCAAAACTGCTATGCAGGAGTCTGCAACCTGTGGCTCTGGAGCCACCTGTGGCTCTTCCGGCCCTCTGCTGTGGCACCCTGTCAGCTGATCCTACCACTGGCTGGCCCTTCCCTGCTTGGCCTGAGAAGGTAAGGGGGCTGGCGGGGAACAGAGACTCACTCCGTATTCCAGAGCAGGAGGTGACTGGGTGGGACCAAGAGACATTGGCTACACCCACCCAGTCGCACTGGTTGTTAAATTATTGGCTCTTTGAGTGTTTAAGGTTGCACACTCCTGAGCTATGGGAAGTGCACTGCAGCATGCTAAAATTAGTGCCCTTCAGAATCTGGAGACAATTATATGATGTAAGTATCCTGCTGGTTTAAAAAGAGAAGCTTGATTGCTCAAAAAATACATTATTAGGAAAAGCAGACTGATTTTGTTGGGCTTCCAAGTCTTTGATATGTTGTTTAAATCAGCTATCCCCAACCTTTTGAGCACCAGGAACCAGTTTCATGCAAACAGGTTTTCCATAGACTGGAGGGCGTGTGGTTTCGCGTGCTGCCTGCATCCTGCAGATGGAGTTTTGCTTGTTTGTGCAGTCCAGTTTCTGAAAAGCTGCGGATAAGCTTGGTCCATGGACCAAGGGTTGGGGATCCCTGGGTTAAATGCAGTAAGTGCACACTTGTACCCATTAAGAGCACATCCATCTTAATTCAGATTATATTGTGTAATTTTTTCAACAATATTTTTATTTTTCAAAATCACTTTTATCAAATATTTTAAAGACAAAGTTTGAAAAACAACACACAACCAAAACTTGTAGAGAAAATTTACAGTTTTATTTCTGACCTCTGAGATCTAGGATTCATTCAAGACTATTTTTCAGTAAAATGTATTTGTTGCCAAATGTCTGTGTGACTGGCAAATTACATAATGTTTTTGGTCATGTTTGGAAAACAAGTGACCAAACAAAACAGATCAAATCAATACATTAAAAGGCAGACTAGAATTCATTAATATAAAAATACTGCACATATTTTATGCTGTATAATAGTAGGGGTATATCAGTACAAATTTCAAAACTATTTGAAGTTTGACAATACAAAAAAGCTTTTTGTATGTTATGGAACAGGAAATACCATGATGAATTGCAAAAATGACTTATAGAGCGCACCTATCCACACTAGATATGGATTATTTTGTTAGTATTATGAAAAACTTTAATGCTTTAACACATTGAAGTGATTCAAATGGAGTATGACATTGTGAATTTTACAAAAAAAAATTCAGCCATGTATGTCAAAAGCAAATAAGTACAATAAATTGTTTATAAAATTAAGAAAAAAACAGTTACCCAAATTTCATTGATAAAAGTTTAATATAGAGTTGCTTATAAAAATGGAAAAAATATTACACCATACAACTAAGCATCCTGGCTCTGACTATTAACTACAGGGATGGTCATGTCAAAAACAAAATCTAATTTCAGAGTTATTTGCTTAAAAGGAAGCAAACAAAAACATCTCTGCAAGTAATCGGATGCTTTACCTAGTTCTTAAAGCTAATTATAATATTATTTTTAACTGGTCCAACAATTTCTTCTTCTAGCAGAACTGTAAAAAGAAAATAAGTATTTATGAGATAGGCACATATACGGAGGTTCACTTCATTTATTTTCTATGACTGCAAATGTGTATATTTTACTTTTGGACACATCGAGTATTCTGATTTAACATCAGGATTTATATCAACATTCACTTCAATTTTGAGCACTTAATTCAAAAACATAGAGGATCCGTTAAATCTGCTTTTCTTGGATTACATATATCAGTTTTACATTCAATTTCATATGCAGAATCCTATTTAAAAAACAGATATATCCCAGAATGGTAACTATGAAAAAAAATCCACTTTGTGTATTTACTATAGTTTATTTTATTGCTGTTATATATTTATTAAAATAAATATTATATTACTGTCTAAATTGATTTTTTTTTAAAAAAAAGCGTTCCTGGTAGAGCAAATGTAAACCAGTAATCAAGTTGTTTATTTTTTCCAATAGGAAAAGTTAAAATCTTCTGACAATACAATCTGTATATAATAAGTTTCAGAAATATTGCTACTTTAGTTTTCCTCTATTATTATTTATGCAATATTTGGCAAAATTTGACCACAAAATTATGATATTTGATTCCCATCTTTTTCTCTTTTAATTTTAGGGTGCTTTGTTTTCATTATTCTGGTTAAATATATATAGAACAATGAAAGAAATGCTTAATAAAACGAAAACTTTAGCATTAAAAAAGAAACAATGCTGCACAAAATACAAACAAAGCAAGTTATTTTTACCTTCCATCTGTTTCCACATTCATTGCATACAACAAATGTTGTCATAGGTTCATCGGCACTTCTGGTCTGAACCTACCCCCCCAAAAAACCCCGAAACAAACAGAAAATAGCAATGTGACTTGGCTATAGTTATATAATTTTCTTATTTTGTGGTACTACAACAGTACAATCTGATCTACTGATTAAAGTAATTAACCCATCCAAAAGCCAAAACTCTCTAGTCACAATATAACACATTAGTTTGAATAAAAACATGTATGATAAAATTGAGTTAAACGCAAAATGAAAACACCATAGAAACCAGTCAGCTGCAAGGTGAACATTGAAAATGTAAAACAATATGAATTAAAATACAATTAAAAGTCATTTTTAAAGCCTAGGAAAATGCAAAGCTCTTCACCTGGTATCAAAATGATACCAATGTGGATATCAGGCAAACCTCACTGGGAGGGAATTCCATAACTGGATGCCATCTCAGAAAAAAAAACCTCTATAACTTGTAGAAACCCACCTTGCCTTCTTTGGTGGGGCAACTGGAGAAGGGTCTTAATGGAAAATTTTAAGGTTTGAGTAGGTACATAGAGGAGGTGCTGCTTCAGGTAACCTAATCCTAAATAGGTTAAGGATTGTTATGATCAAAACCAGCATTTTGAATTATTTATTCAGATATAAAAGCCCAGTTTGTTTAATCGGGGTTAATCTTTTGGTTGCTTGGTAATGTATGCTAAAACTAACTTTTAATTCAATATTACAACTTTAGTCCAAATTATTAATTTATAATTTTCATATGAAATATTAAGTGAACCCACAATCCTTCTCTTTAACAGCTAAGATTCTCTCTAGTATGCCTCTGTGACAGATGAATTTTTAACTTCTCTAGTTAGGAATAGCCAGTGATAAGAGAACTTAAAATCTGGCAACACTAAGAAGACTATATTTTGCCAGTTATTACTCTCAAAAACAGTTTTCCGTATCTTATTTGGTTATGAGTGTCTGGCAAAAACATTCATTTGGGCCTTTGCCTTCTGATACTGGAAATACAGGTTAAATAGGGAGTTAAGATTTAATGTTAAATTTGATGTGAAGAGAGAAAAGCTAAACATCAAAGAACACGCACCATTTTGAGAAGAGATCAATTATAAATTATTGTAATGCTTTAACTACTTGAAAAATATACTGTATCCCAAGACAGCCAAAAAAATTGTCAAAATTATATTTAAAAAAAAGACAGGTGGGTGAATGGAGATAGACAGATGGATAAATAGATCGATAGATAAAAATAAATAACTCCAAAAGCTAATACTGTAGCGGGCATATAGAAATGTCTAAATCACAAACCAGAGTATGTATAAAACAAGGTATTTTTGAACTGTTAAGGGAATTGGATCTTTTTCCTGCCTTGTTGGTTCCTTATAATATGCTGTGAGCATAACATTTAATGTATTTCACACAATCACAAATGTTGAATGCAGCTTAGATACAACTGATATACCTGGGTATAAGTACAGTTCTTCTTTTTACATTTCCCACAGGTAAATAAATCAGTCTGTGTTCCTCCTGTTTTAGCCATCTGGTGTTCTCTTATAGCTTCTTTGGTAAGATTCTTCCTCATTTCTTTCAACTCATCACTTGCCATCTCCTACAGTGAGCACACACAAAAAATCATGTTAATTTTACACTTTTTGAATACACACACACATACACTTTATTTACTAGGCATAATAGGTTTACCCTTTAATTTGTGAAAGTAAAAGTATTACTAATATTTATTATATATGCATTAACCTTATTAGATAATATTAGATTATTCTCTATATTGGATTATCAGGTTCCTTTGGGAGGCTTACAAAATGACAATTTATTTTACTGAAAATACAGTTTAAGGTATAGAAATCATTCTTGTACCTCATCCTCTAAGTGCTATCAAAATATACTGATTGGCTGCTGTCTTAAAATATAACAGAGGCCATGTATCTTAAGTATTGTACAATAGTTTTGTTATTATATAGAACTTTTAATGATTTATTCTCCATAGCAGCCTTCAGGAAAAAGTATATTCTTCAAATAGTTGAAGTGAACAGCTTCAACATAATCTAATTATATATACAGGTAGTATTACAATGGCAACTGGGACAGGAATTTCCATTACTAAGCAATGAAGTCATAAAATCCTATTTTAATATACAATATAGGCAACCAAGTTAGGAAGCATCATAGATTTAAGATTTCTGATCCCTCTGCTGCCATCTTCTGACTGTTTTTTACCATAGATATGGTAGCCTAACTTAAGAACCATCTGGGTTTTAAGCTATTCCGAAAAGTCAAAAAAAATGGAAGAAAAGGCAATGGCAAAGGGCTCTGTATTATTGCCAAGAAAAACTGTACTATCACTTCCAGGAAGTTGAGCTCAAACTTAACTATTAACTTGACACTATACCCAGTTAGAGGAGTGATCTTTCCAGCATAATAATATCTACATCAACTGAAAGTAGGTCTTCAAGATTTCAAGTAGAAGCTTCTCCAAGCCGTATCAGGGGATGCCAGGAACTGAACCAATGATTGCATGCAAAACATATGTTGTTTCATCCATTTGTGCTATTCTATGGAGATTTGACAGCAGTAAATTATAGCCTTCTATGTTGCTAAAACATGCAACAGATAAATTTAAATACTTTTAAATTATATAGTATAATTTAACAATACATTCTGAATTTTTTTCTAAAGTACAAATAATACTGTATTTTTATTTTGGAAACACAAAAAGTCACAGATTTTTGCTTAAACAAATCAAGTAGGCAGGAAAACTCTGACACTATTTTCAACTGAGATATGTAAATGTTTTAGTGTGTCAACTAAATATGGATTCATACTTGTATCTTAGATTAAAAAAATAAAAATTGTAATATGCTGAATTTTTATTACCTCTGCTGACATTTTAGCAAATCTATCAGGAGATATATTTCCACATAAAACATTTTTTCTTAAATTAGGATTTTTTGTATCTTTAAGATTTGCTATCCTGCTGCGCACTCTATTTTTATATTTCATGTCAGTATTTTTTAGCTCCTGAAATATAGGTATTTATGAATTAAGGAAATAATGTGTAAAACACAGAATTCATTTATTTTACATATATTTGACCACATTTTATAATTGGCTGTTTTTAATTAATAAGAGCAATACATATCTAGAAACTTAACTAAATTTATATTAGCCACAAACTATCAAGTTTGTCTTGCTTACGTGAATTAAATATATATAAAAGCAATGTTCATTTAATGGCATATTTCAATATTAAAATATTTTAATAATCTCAGCTATCTCCAAGGTATTGTCCTGTTATTAACAAAATCTATACAAAATTCTAAACATATTTTTAAATATATCCTCTTTCTACCATACAATTTGTTTAAAAATTATCTGTTCTAATTTACTTTATTAAAGTTTATAAAAATGTAAATATATTAGAACACAATACAGACTGATGTAAACAACAAAAAATTAAAGAACAAAATATTTTAAAAGAGGTTAAGAATTAAACTACAGAATAAGGTAGAACTTTCATTATATTAGAAAGGATATCTTCTTCAATCTGAGAACCTAGTTCTTCCTCATCAGCACCAATAGCAATATAATCATCTGAAAAATAAATTAATTGGGAATCAGTTTTTTGTAACCTGATTATATACATATATTTAGATGCAAATAAAATTGCACTTAGTAAAATGTGCTCCAAATTATACAGCACTAAAACTGCAGTAGATTCTATCCACAACTAGAGAGTATCATAAAAACAAGATAGAAAAAAAAATACAAAAATAACTGTAAAACAATCACAAGCTGGCAATCCAAACAACAATCCAAACATAAAACATCACAAATTCCATCCACCCTACTCCAAGGCTTGGGTAAATAGATTTTCAAAGCCTTCTGGAACATTAGGGTGGGAAGCATATGGATCCCACTTCATTCTAGAAGGCAGGTGAATTTCTTAGGTATTAAAAGAGAGTATCATTTAATTGGGATGACCCAAAGCATACCACTCTGCAACATTGTATCAGATGAGCAGAAAGTGAAGAAGATGGGTAGCATAGGCCCTATACCCATAATGGTGAACCTATGGCACGCATGCCACAGGTGGCATACAGAGGCATTTGTGTGGGAAAGCAAGCCCCAGCTAAACTTACCTCACTGGGTATGCGTGTGCCTCCCAGCTGGTTTTCAGCCCGTTTGAGGCCTTTTTCGGCCTCCCAGAGGCTTGAGGGAAGCCTCTGCAGCCTTTTGAACCTTTGGAGCTCAAAAAACAGGCCTGTTTTGTCACTTCCTGTATTTCCAAGCCTCTGGGAGGCCAAAAAAGGCCTCAAGCGGGCCAAAAATCAGCTGGGAGGTGCACACATGCCCAGTGCAGGCATAGGGGTGGCGGGGTAGATCGCGTGCGCATGCGCAGGGGGCATGGGGGGGCACACGCATTGCCTTCTGGGTGCTGGCATGCGAATGCGCATATGCAAGCACACATGCAATTTTAGGCACAGGAACCCACAATGGTTAGCCACCACTGCCCTATACCATACATAGGGTTTTAAAGATAATAACCATCATCTTGAATATTTCATTTGGACCCTTAATTTGTTAAACTGTAAGCTATTTATTTCTAGAATTGAAAGAAAGTCAGTTCTTTTGGTTCTCTTTTACACTTTCCTCTTTGAATTTGAAATTAACTTTCTAAGACTTCCATTAACTGGTTGAAGACACTTCACTATGTTATTTTTCTACTAGGTCATTTTTCACTTCACTTCTCCACTGTTTTTTTGGTGTAACTTTTAACTTTAGATCAGCAAAAGACTTTCTACAGTACTGACACAAGACATCTCTTTATGTAATATCAGATGTGCATCCAATCCACTTAACTGTAAATTCAAATTGCAACAAATTATCAGTTCAAATTATCAGCTAAGAATAATAACTTAAGGCCATTCTCAAAAAGAAATATGACAAATTCACAGTGACTAAAAAATAATAAGCACACATACTGCAACATATAGAGGATCCCCTAAAATTGTTTTTCATCATGCACTTAATATAATCTCACAGCCGGTTTCTTAATAGCCTTGTATTTTGTATTGAATAAAACCAGAAAGAAAATATGGAGTCAAATGAAAAGTAAGTATAGCCCAGTAATATAATTCTTACCCCCTGTTTTAAGAGCTGCTGCCAACATTTCTCTGCATTTCATCCGTACAGAATCAGATGTGCTTGGAGCCCGGGGAAAAGAAGAGATATATGTGTCTGTTGAAATGTTAGAATCCTCTTTCTTGTTGTTTGAATTGCTACTGGAACTGCTAAATAGACAACAGATAAACACTTTTTTTTTGTTCTGTTTCACTATGAATCAGCAGGACCCACATGGTATGATTTGGACCCTCTTTATCATCCACCCAGACACTAATTTTACTGACCAAATGACCCTTTTAAATATGTAAATCAATGAACAAAAACCTCCAGTATTAAATATATTTTCCTTTGTATAATGAAATTCATAAATGCAGAAATAAATATTTCATCAATCCCAAGTATTAAAAATAATACAAGAATGAAGTCTCATCTCTGTACATAATGATTATTTCTGACTTAAATATTCCAATTTAAACTGACAGGATTTCACCTAACCAAGTGTTAAATGTACTGTACATGGTATAAGACTATTCTGTAATCTTTTTTCCATACATTCTTTCATCATATCCTTTAATATTACCCTTGAGTTTGTACTCTTTTAAGTTTGTAAACATTAGGATGAGTTAATGTTAGTTGTCTTCTACCATTTAAGCAAAAAGGTTATAAGATATACCTTTCTTCCCTTGCTTCAGGACTGTTTTGTGAAGATGATGCTGATTCTTTTTTCTTGTCTTCAGATTCTTTGTCATTTGATGGTCCATCTAAAATGCATATATAATATATAAAAGCAATAATAATTAAGTTGATGAAATAAGGGGATGTCAATCCAAGATAAATAAAAGATTAGGGAATGCCTGTGCAGCAATGAATGAATTTAAGTAATTAATTTTATCTGATTAATTAACCAATTAGGTTTATAAGAACAGGTCAGATAAACCTTTGCTTCCTGTTCTTCTTTCTCTTTTGCCCTTTATGTAGCCATTTCATTCTACTTAACTACTGTTTAGTTTTGTCTAATCTCAAGATGACACCTAACACTATGCATAACTGAGACCTGCCAACAAGTATCAGAGAGGCACAATCAGCTTTTCTAATTCTTAATTTTTAAAAAATGAAAATAATTTTATCATCATAAAGAACATTTAAAGGCAAGGAGAGCTCCTGCTGCTATTTTTTGAATCTACATCTATTCTAACCTGCTCTTTTCCACAGGTAGAAAATTAGTATTTTTTCTCACAAATTGTAGCTAAAGGGAGATATGTAAGAAATAAATCTGTGGGTAAAAGTGTTACATTTCTCTCTTCCAGTGTAGCAACTCTGAAACAGCTCACTGAACCCCTCTCTCCATGGTAGATGGATGAAATTTTGTATGTCATAGTAGCTTAAAGTAAAGGGCAAATACAGGGAATAAAACCAAGAAAAGACTAATCACAGGAAAACTCTTGAAGACAGAAAAATGTATTATCATTATTAAGAAATCAAGAATCCAAGTAAAAAGAAAAAGTTGGATTACAAAGGAAATAATTATCTCATGAACATTATCCTAATCTCCATGTTACAGAATACAATTTATATCATTCTGGTTATAGGCTAGCTAAGATCCTTGTCATTCACATCAACCTCGACAAACTCTAGATTTTTCAGATAATTTTGCAAGATAGATTCATCAGCACTGTTAATCCAAGGGTCTTTTTAAAGTTTAGTGAAAAGTTACTGTAATAAGAATAGTTTAAAATAGGTTTCTAGAACTTACTGATCCATCTTCAAAATGCTAGATTATTAATAACTATTAGATTGTTATCTTTTTTTTGCAGTTTCCTAAATATATTATATTTTAGTACTTTGTTGTAAAAAATCTTTGTTTATATTTTAAGTTTTCACTATAGCCTCACTGCATTATGTTTGAAGGTAATTTTTTAAAAGAATGTACATTTCAAATGGTCTTTTCCCCATGCTTCAACCATTCTAAACTAATGCACATAATAAATACTTGAGAATTTTCCAGGATATCCATCCTCCCCCAACTGCAAACATATTCCACAGATCAACTAAGTATAGTAGCATATAGAATGATCAAGAAGGAATATCTCTTAAGGTATGCTATAGTTTCATTCACCACAGCCAAAAATCATAAGAAAAAACTGGATATACAAGATCCAGAAAAGGAGCTAATGTTTAGATTAATTTAAAAATCATCTAACAATGAGAAAATGCAAAAGCTTAATGCATCTGTACCTAACAATTTCTTCCATGATTTAATGAGCGATTTTGCTAGAGATGTAACTTCTTCATCTGTACTTTGTTTCCGAATTGCATTCACAGACATGCCAATTCTTGTGGACTGAAAATTAAAATAGTTAAGATCAATGAGAGGTATTTGCAAAATGAAGTACTGTATATATGCCATTAAATCCCCCCCCCTCCCAAAAATATGTTGTAGAAAAGAGATGTCTTAAGTGAATTCTATACTTTCACTCCCTTTGAAAAATTCTCTAATCACCTCATCTGCAATTTCAGTTACCAAAGTGACAGATCTCTTCATAGTGATCTGTTGAGGCAACTACTGTAGCTTTAATTTAAATGTTTTATGAGATAAACTCATATTCTGATTTTATGAAAAAATTTATATGCATATTTTATCAGCTTTCTACATTTTGTGGAATATTTTTTATACACACGCACACACATACACACACACACACACACACACACACACATATGTATATGTATATACATACATTACATAATACACACACACACACTATTTTAACTGCCCAGTCACTGAAAGTTAAGTGGCATATAAATGTATAAATAAATAAATACACAACTCCAAGATATCAGACAATCACTGAAGTTCAACCATCCATAGGATACAGGATATACAGGTAGTACTCAACTTACAATTCATTTAGCGACTGTTTGAAATTACGTCACTGGAAAAAAATGACTTGTGATTTTTCACACTTACAACCATTGCAGCATGCTCATGCTCATGTTATCAAAATTCAGACACTTGACAACTGACTCATATTTATGACAGTTGCTGTGTTCCCGAGTTATGTGATCACCTTGTGCGACCTTCTAACAAACAAATGGGGAAGCAGATTCACTTAACAATTGTATTACTAAATTACTATCTGCAGTGTATTCACTTAACAACTGCAGTGATTCACTTAACAACCTTTGCAAGAAATGTCATAAAATGAGGCAAAACTCACTTAACATGTGTCATTGCAACACAAATTCTGGCATTAATTGTGGTCGTAAGTTGAGGACTACTTGAATAAGCATCATAAATCTACTAGCAAGATTCAATAATCATAACTAAATATATTTTTCCTTATCAATACATTTATAGCATTTATGTTTGAAATTAACATCTGACAAATCATTTTCTCTTTGTAAGGAATCCAACATATCATACTAATGAAGTTAGTTTCTGCATCTCTGTGTTTATAGCATTATCAATTTCAGTATTTTTGCAGGAAAAAAAGCGCATACCTGTAACAGTTCCAGCGTCATGGGCATATTCTTAAGTTCCTTGAGTAAATCAAGTGCCCCGCCCTGTAAAACACATTGAAAATTAAATATACCGATTGCCGTAAAGACACCTAAAAAAGACACCTAATATTATTTTATCATCTTCAAATCTATGATATAAATGCTAATAAAAATATTGATAAACATTTAAAAAATATTTTTTCATGCTTGTTCCAAGAACAACTGACTACAGTTCTCGTCCTTAAAAGTGAACTAGGTCTATCCTAAAGTAAAGCTATCTATGTGAAGCTAGTGACATTTAATTAAAATTTTCTAAAGACTGCTAATTTTTCCCATATCTTGCACAATATTGAAATCCAGCCTAAATTTTTTTTATAGAATTAGCACAAAACCAAATATTATTCAAGATGTTCCATTCAAGATGCTACATTGTCGATAATTTTACACAGTCTGATTTCTATTTAATCCTGAGCTCCTAATTTATTTTTAAACATAGTAAAAAGGGGGAAAGGGGGAAAATATACTTTACCACAATATTCAACTTCTACAGGTACAATCTATCAGTTTTAGGTTATACTCTTATATTTATCTGATTGAAAGGTTTGATTTGTAAGAATCATAAAAAAATACTTCTCTGGCAACATGTAAGTCATGTGTATCAAAATAAATATTCTGGTAGATATTATGAAATAGAATTGAATTCTAAGAGTAATTTAATGGAATATAACCACAATATATTAAAGGGACATATTTGTATTAACTTTATTCTTACTACACAGAATTTTCCTTCTGTTGAAATAATAAATTTCTTTTTGTTGAAAGAATTTTAAACATCTATCAGTTAATGTCAACTTTATACTCTTATCACAGCTACTGAGCACTGAATCACAAGACCCCACAACTATAACGAATTCCATCCAAGGGAGACAATTCAAATTAGACAGTTCCCCTCAGACTTTGGCTCCATTCACATACATTTTATTGCTGAAAATAAGGAATTCTACTGTAGTAATAGGAAACTATGAATAAAATGTCCTTTTCATAAAGCAAGCACTCCTCGGGACACACAAGGATTTAACCAGATAGTAAGATTTGTCCACTTGAGACTCTAACAGATACATACATACAAGCCTAGAAAAACATGTAATGAAATTATTCAGGAGGTGAAGTTGCCTTTCCGAAGACAAGATCAAAAGAAATACTTATAGTCCATAAAAAATTACTAAAATTTTCACAAAGATCACTAAGACACTATATAAATATATACCAGTTACCAAGCGTTCGAATTTTAATCATATGGCCACAAGGATGCTACAACAATCGTAAAGGGGGAAAAAGTTTATGTCACCTTTTTCAGTGCTGTTGTAACTTTGAATGGTCACTACATAAATAGCTGTAAGTGAAAGACTATCTGTATATTACTAAATTGATTTTTTAGAAATACTGCATAGTATTTCTGACAGCAAATCTCTATTAATTTCAAGTTAAAATTTCTAAGAAACTGAAGCCATCTACATGAAATATGACCGTAAAATGGGCATTTAAATACCATTTAAAAATACTTTCTAAACACTTTCTGAACAAAAATACTTTTTGCACAATACAAATACACAGTGATTGCTTTTTGCGACACAAAGTATGTCTAAAAGGACAAAAATATTAATTTCAATTATTACTGCAGTCTTCTTCTCTTATTAAATAATACAAAAGCTGCCCAGGAGGCTTTGGATAGTGAGATGGGCAGATAGATAGATAGATAGATAGATAGATAGATAGATAGATAGATAGA